CGGGGTTTGAACCCGCGATCAGAGAGTCTCAAAACTCCAGACCCTGGCCCAGTGGCTAACGTGACGGTCTGGAGTTTTTCGACTCTCTGATCGAAGGTTCTAATCCCACCCGTAGTATGGTTTGAAAATTATATCATCATGAAGCCTGGTCACAGACCGGGCAACGGGGTCGTTGACCCCCGAAACTCTCTCCAGATAGTTGGCGGATCTTCTTCAGTAAACAGACCAAATAAGACCATATATAAGAATTAAATTAATTGTATTTAACGCACTTGTACGTACATGCAGTACATAATTCCCAATGTAATGAAGTGGCCTGAAGACGAGTGTAGATCAGTGTGTGAACCTGCCTGATGCTGCATCTGTGACGAGTGTAGATCAGTGTGTGAACCTGCCTGATGCTGCATCTGTGACGAGTGTAGATCAGAGTGTGAACCTGCCTGATGCTGCATCTGTGACGAGTGTAGATCAGAGTGTGAACCTGCCTGATGCTGCATCTGTGACGACGAGTGTAGATCAGAGTGTGAACCTGCCTGATGCTGCATCTGTGACGACGAGTGTAGATCAGTGTGTGAACCTGCCTGATGCTGCATCTGTGACGAGTGTAGATCAGAGTGTGAACCTGCCTGATGCTGCATCTGTGACGAGTGTAGATCAGAGTGTGAACCTGCCTGATGCTGCATCTGTGACGACGAGTGTAGATCAGAGTGTGAACCTGCCTGATGCTGCATCTGTGACGACGAGTGTAGATCAGAGTGTGAACCTGCCTGATGCTGCATCTGTGACTACGAGTGTAGATCAGAGTGTGAACCTGCCTGATGCTGCATCTGTGACGACGAGTGTAGATCAGTGTGTGAACCTGCCTGTTGCTACATCTGTGACGACGAGTGTAGATCAGAGTGTGAACCTGCCTGATGCTGCATCTGTGACGACGAGTGTAGATCAGAGTGTGAACCTGCCTGATGCTGCATCTGTGACGACGAGTGTAGATCAGTGTGTGAACCTGCCTGATGCTGCATCTGTGACGACGAGTGTAGATCAGAGTGTGAACCTGCCTGATGCTGCATCTGTGACGACGAGTGTAGATCAGTGTGTGAAACTGCCTGATGCTGCATCTGTGACGAGTGTAGATCAGAGTGTGAACCTGCCTGATGCTGCATCTGTGACGATGTGAGATCAGTGTGTGAACCTGCCTGATGTCTCCATCTGTGACGAGTGTAGATCAGTGTTTGTGAACCTGCCTGATGCTCCATCTGTGACGAGTGTAGATCAGTGTGTGAACCTGCCTGATGCTGCATCTGTGACGAGTGTAGATCAGAGTGTGAACCTGCCTGATGCTGCATCTGTGACGAGTGTAGATCAGTGTGTGAACCTGCCTGATGCTCCATCTGTGACGAGTGTAGATCAGTGTGTGAACCTGCCTGATGCTGCATCTGTGACGACGAGTGTAGATCAGTGTGTAAACCTGCCTGATGCTGCATCTGTGACGAGTGTAGATCAGAGTGAGAACCTGCCTGATGCTGCATCTGTGACGACGAGTGTAGATCAAAGTGTGAACCTGCCTGATGCTGCATCTGTGACGACGAGTGTAGATCAGAGTGTGAACCTGCCTAATGCTGCATCTGTGACGACGAGTGTAGATCAGAGTGTGAACCTGCCTGATGCTCCATCTGTGACGATGGGTGTAGATCAGTGTGTGAACCTGCCTGATGCTGCATCTGTGACGAGTGTAGATCAGAGTGTGAACCTGCCTGATGCTGCATCTGTGACGAGTGTAGATCAGAGTGTGAACCTGCCTGATGCTGCATCTGTGACGAGTGTAGATCAAAGTGTGAACCTGCCTGATGCTGCATCTGTGACGACGAGTGTAGATCAGAGTGTGAACCTGCCTGATGCTGCATCTGTGACGATGAGTGTAGATCAGAGTGTGAACCTGCCTGATGCTGTATCTGTGACGAGTGTAGATCAGAGTGTGAACCTGCCTGATGCTGCATCTGTGACGACGAGTGTAGATCAGAGTGTGAACCTGCCTGATGCTGCATCTGTGACGAGTGTAGATCAGAGTGTGAACCTGCCTGATGCTCCATCTGTGACGATGGGTGTAATTCAGAGTGAACCATCTTGATGCTGCATTTGTGACAACGAGTGTAGATCAGAGTGTGAACCTGCCTGATGCTGCATCTGTGACGACGAGTGTAGATCAGTGTGAACCTGCCTGATGCTGCATCTGTGACGACGAGTATAGATCAGTGTGTGTTAACCTGCCTGATGCTGCATCTGTGACGACGAGTGTAGATCAGTGTGTGAACCTGCCTGATGCTGCATCTGTGACGAGTGTAGATCAGAGTGTGAACCTGCCTGATGCTGCATCTGTGACGAGTGTAGATCAGAGTGTGAACCTGCCTGATGCTGCATCTGTGACGACGAGTGTAGATCAGTGTGTGAACCTGCCTGATGCTGCATCTGTGACGAGTGTAGATCAGAGTGTGAACCTGCCTGATGCTGCATCTGTCATAGCCAGAAATTAATCATGATATCTAAGACGAATTATGTTAGATACACAGATTTAATCCCAGCTCTGCATTTAGTAAACCTAGCCTAGCCTAGCCTAGCCTAGCTTAGCCTATCCCCGAATATTCATACAAACTAATTTGAACAATAGATATATCGCATCTGTAAATTTATTTAACAAATTTCTCAAACGTTTACACTCCCTTAAAATTCGTACTTCCCATAGCTGATTCACATTAGGTAAGAGATAAGATTTTGTTGGTATTTTTAATTCGGAAAGTTAGCCACCCAGGATAACCTAATAATGCCAGTGGGTCTTTCAATCTTGTCCCCATGATGCCACCAATAACCGTCAACTAACACCCAGGTACCTACTTACTGCTAGATGAACACTGACAGCAAAGAAACATGCCCGTGCAGGGGATCGAACCACGAACACTGGATGTGAGACTGTGTTATCAGTTCAATTGATCCACATACGTAATTCTAGGCCATCACCAAGGCTCGGTTTATCTATATTGATCTATAAACAAATTATGAAGGCTTATTAAAATTTAAAATAAAAATCAACTCACGGTGAATTAGTAGCTATTGTTGTTGCCACCTGCGTACCAGCTACTGCCACCTGCCAACCAGCTGTAGTAAACAGTCTCTCAGGGAAGGTGACGGAGCAGACGCAACTTCACTGAGATGCCAGGTGTTCTCCTTCTGTTCATCCTTACGTACCAGCTAGTTTATCTTTATGCTTCGTCTAGGAAATATAGATGGCCGAAGGTGATTATCTCAGTATATAAATATTACCAGACAGGTGAATTACAGCTTTAATGATCCTTCAGTTAGAGAAAACTTTTAACTCGATAAATTAACTGTTAAGTCGTCCTAGTTGTCAGATTTTTCCGTCCAGATTATTATTATTATCATGTAGGAGCTCTAAATCTATAGGGATTATACAGCTCTTGTGGGGATTGGATGGAAGGCATTCAGATTTAATTCAGGGAATTGGAGCACAGCTCCCATTCCCAAGATCAAGATCCCCTGAGCAACATTAAAGAACCCCCCTGGAGGGGCTTTTATTGTCCAGGGGAAACTAATTCATTTTGCTTTTAATTTGGGCAAAAAAGTTAATTTGTACATTTTTAAATATATACTGAGAAATAATACACATTTATATTATTTATATTTCCACTACTGTGTCTTAGTGTGCAGTGTAACTGAAGGTTTAAATATATATTCCGACTCTTATAAGAGGAATTCACTGTATGGAATGGTTTAACTGTACTCGGTTTATATTTTTGGGTTTAAGATTTTCCATAGCTTGCTAAGGAAAGTATGACCTCGTTGAACTACATTCCCAGCTCTAAAGCTGTGGATTACTTGCTGTACTTCATCTTTAAGGTTTGTTGTGATCTCAGGAGGTGTCACACAGATTCTAGCATCGTCTGTGATGGTTGTCAAGCTTAAGAAATAGCTGCCTCACGAGTCGTAAAGAAGCCGCTAAAGTGGAAACCTTGACTTAAATGTATTGATTAATACATAAAGTGCCAGTTACCTACTACTTGTATATTTGGATTTACATCTACATCCAAATGTACACCTGTTAACTCTTTTGGGGCCTAGTTCCAAGGCCTTTTGTGTATCCACATGCTCTTGAGCTACCCTCCACAGGATGGATATGAGATCCACAATAAACTAGCCACTTTGGTCAAAAAATCTACAAATTGATTTTGAAAAATTTTTTATCAATTTTTTTTGGCGTTTTGGGGGGGTTTGGGATCTTTTTTACAACTTTAAGTGGTTTTTCCCAAAAAAACCC